GGGGGGAGGACAGCGACGACGCGAACGACGAAGAAGGAGGGAGGAAGGCGACGCCGACGACGACAACGACGAGGGAGGAGGGAAGATGACGACGACGACGGCGACGAGATAGGAGGGACGACGACGAGACGTCGAGGACGGACGACGACGACGACGAGGGAGGAGGAAGGACGACCACGGCGACAACGACGACGGAAACGACGACGACGCCACAGAGGACGACGACGACGAGTAAAGACAGAGGACGACGACGGCGACGACGACGACGACGACGAGGGAGGAGGGAGGACGGCGACGACGACGACGACGACGACGCAAGAGCGCGCGCGTACGCTTTGTTGAAAATCCGTGTTGCGAAGCCCGGCTTTTTTTGTATGGTTTTTGCCGAATCCGAAGGTTTTTAGAAGATTTCGGCATGCGCGCGCCACGACGCGCGCGCGTGCACTTCGTCCCATTTTTTGCAGAGGATTCTCGCGACGGTACGCGCGCAAGGGCGTTCGAACGTTTTCGACATGCGCGCGCAAAGCCCGTTTGGTAGTATTTTCGGAACCGCTTGAAACCGATTGCCTTCTTTAGAGTTCGCAAGAGCGCGCGTTTTTTTGTGGTTTTGTTAAACGCTCGTGTTGCGAAACCCTTAGGATTTGTATGTTTTTCGGACACTCGATTTTGAATTCCTTCCGAAACCGAAGGTTTTTGAAGGATTTCGGCATGCGCGCGACGACGCGCGCGCTTGCACTTCGTCCCCGTTTTTTGTAGACGGCACGCGCGCAAGGGCGTTCGAACGATTTCGACATGCCCGCGCGGGAAGCCCGTTTGGTAGTACTTTCTGAAATTCTTGAAACACCAATGGTTTTGTTCGAACATTTGCAAGAGCGCGCGCGTAAGCCTTTTTCTGAAAGGTCGTGTTGCGAAACCCTGTGTTCTTGTATGTTTTTCGGACGCTCGATTTTGAAATCTTTCCGAAACCGTTCCGTTTTTTGCAAGGGATCTTTTAAAACTTATGATTTTTGACAAACTCTGATGGCTGGTGGGGGCGATACCGGCCCCCCTGGGATAGTGTACGTTCATACATGTAAGTTGCAATACGAAAGGGGGGATCGTTAAGTCCGGAGGGGAGGGTGGTAGAACCGATTTTTTCAAACAAATGAAAGGATAATCTAGGGCGGCGACGAGGTGGCGACGGCGAGGCGACGGCGGCCACAGCCGCCAGAAGGACAGGCCCAGACGACGGGCGGCGACGAGGCGGCGACGGGGCGGCGACGGGGCGGCGACGACGGCCACATATGTGCCAGACCGACAGACGGGCCCAGTGCCTCACAAAAGAGGCAAGCACCTTGAGTGCAAGCACTGTTTGGGGAGTCTGATGCAGGACGATGACAGGGGCTATAAAAAGGGGGGATTACACCCGAGAAGAACCCCAATCAGTTGATGGTTCTCGATGAAGCAGGTCGACCGGGAGCCTGGGAACCCGGAACCCACCGAATTCGGCCCGGAACCAATAATCAGGAACCCGGGAACCCGGAACCGGGAACCTGGTAACCTAGCCGGCCACCAAATCCTTCAATTTCCGCTAGGACCCCGTCAGTGCAAGCACCGATTGGGGAATGAGCATGACTTTGTATGTATATGATATAATTGGCTCCTGGGTCCCCAGGCTCAGGAGCAGCACGCTTTTTCAAACTCCTTCCCCCCCCATGGCGTCAAACTTTGCCCCGGGGTCCTGGGGGGCTCCCAGAGCGGGAACTCGAACTGACAGTTCGGGCCTTCCGCCCCAGAAGGACCTCCGATACCACCACGAGGCTCAAAACAAACAGCCAAGAAGACCCACGAGGCCCCCCAGATGCTCCAAAGAGGTGCTCAGAGAGCTTCAACTGGCCCCGAGGAGGACCCAAGAGGTTTCATAACTGCTTCCAAAACGCTCCCCAAAGATCTCCCGAGAGTCCCACCAGGCATTCAAGGAGCTCTGCCCCGTAAGGAAGGCACGGTGGCAGGATGGACCGAAAACCATGTGTAATGACACGAACCGACCTAGTCCTTCCCTCCCTAGCCCCTCCTCTCTCTTACTCTGTGCGCTGGCCCTTCCTCTGTGAAAGGAGTGGCACTTACGACCTCCAGCCCCACGTTCCCAGAGCTAACTGTCCGCCCCTCTTTCGGCCGCGCCCTCCTCCCTTTCCTCCTCCTGCATGGTGGCACATTTCGCGTTAACGGCATCCCCGTTTAGGCCTGATCTATTCGCCAGCGCAGACGTCCTTGCCTAGTCGCCGACGTAAAAACATGTTCCCAGGGATCGTTCGTCGGATTACCCCTCCATGCGCTATCCGAGCTCCGCGTTCCCTGGGTTGTCGAATTCGTCGGATTTCTTGCGTTCGATCGCAGTTCATTGTTTTGCATCGCATGCTTCCTTAAATTGATGCTTCGCAACGCATTCCTTTAAATTTGTCAGCTTTGTTTGGATTTGCATGACGTCGCCTTGCAGTTGGTTTGCTAACTGTTCCTTGCAATTCTTTGCGCTTGTTGGTGTTACGATCGGTTGTGCTTGCCTCCGTTTGACATGACAATGCTTCTTGCTTTTTGCATGTCGCTGCCACTGCAAAGCATTATGCTCATGTGTCGGCTTTACATTGTTTTGCATTTCGTAACTGTGCAGTTGCCTTGGCGTACCTCTGTCGGTAATGTGTGTACGCTCGGTCCGCCTTTCTGCCACTTCTTCAACTCATGGCCACTTCATGTTTGGATATGTGCGTACATGCACGTCGGTGTGACTTTGTGAAAGGCGGGTGCTTCCTAGAACCTGAGCGCGCGAAGCGCGCGTGGTTCTAGTTGAGTATGTAAGAGTTATGATTTAAGACACGGTGTGATGATGACGGTGGTAGTTATGATGCTAATGGCGGTGGTCAACATGTATTGGTGATGGTGGCGTAGTGGTGACGATTCTGAAAATGCTGATGTGGAGGAAGGGGTTGGTGGTGGATGATGCGGAAGACCAATGTAACCCCACGACGCACCAATGATGTTGCATTAAACTCTCCTTCCAACTTATCTATTTCATGTGCCCCTGCGATAATTAGTTTTCATGGTGGGACGTGCCCCGTTGAAAGACAACCGTATGATATTCAATGATTCGCGGAAGCACCGTTCCTGGGGCTTCAACTCCGCGAATCAATGTGAGTGTTGCGCCCAGACAATCATAAAAACGTGTCAGAAAAGCATTCCTGGGACTTCAACTCCGCGAGTCAACGTGACTTTGGCTTGAAAGCCGTGGACGTCAACGCCGCAAATCATGGTGCGTCATAGCAATCGTGCATCGTGCGATAGCATTGTCCATGGGACTCCAATCCCACGATTCCGTGAAGCTGTTGTAGCTCTTGAAGGCGAGTGTGCGCGGCGCTACTGCGAGAGCCACATTTTTACAACGAGTCGTGATCCATCTCTGGAGCTGTTGCAAGTGTCCTGTTTCTGGATCGTACGCGGTGAGGAGTCTCAGGCGAACCCCCCAGCCTGGCCTGCCGACGCGTCTGGGGGTGCGACAGGGAGGAGTTGTTACAAGGAAGCAAGATTGAGGAGAGGGGTGGCCCTGCTCGGGCGGTTTCTAATGGGGGGTGGACTAAGTGACGGGTGGAGGAAAGGGCCCGAAAAGGGCTTCTTAGGGCCCCTTTTGGGCCCCTGCTGGCGCCAAAAGGGGCCCCGCCCGACCGACCCCCGGCGTTTACCCCCTCTACTCCCCAGCCCCCCTTCCATCCAACCTTCGTCGAACCATGCGTGGCCCTGCCAAGGCGCGCGCCCTCTCCCTCGAAGGGGACCTGCCGATCTGTCTTCCGTCCCGCCACATGCCAGGGAGGAGGGCTAGGAACAGGAACAGGAGGAGGACGAGGCGGAGTCATATCTCGGTGGCGAGCGAGGGGTGGGAAGTGAGAATGAGAAGGAGATGGCCTTCTCAGAAGGCGGCGGGACTTCTCAAAAGCCCTCGCGCCCTCTGGGATGTTTCTTGTGTCTTCGGGGAAGGCTCAGATAACTTCTCAGAAGGCCGGGGGACTTTGAGCCTTCAGAGAAGGCCCTCCCCTTCTTACTTCCCTCCCGGGCGCGCCGCCTATATCGTGAACTGGGCACGATCCCAATTAGGGGTTCCCTTTGTATTCTAAAGAAATAAAGTCAGTTCTGGGCAACTCGAGGCAATGCAATGCAAAACGTTGTTTTGCGATTCTCGGCGTTGCTTAGGCATTGGTGGAAATCATTATTTGCTATTGCTTAGCGTTGCTTGGCGTTGCTTGGAGTTGCTTGGAGTTGCTTGGCATTGCTTGGTATTGATTGTCATGGCTTGGCAGTGGTTTGGGAACTCGAGGAACCGGGTGAATGCATCGCTTGAGGAACCCGCGGAAGCTTGAGGAACCCAAGCAAGGAAGCGGGGAAGGTCTCTGTAGCGAAGGCGCACCCACCGGATTCTTCACAAACAAGGACGGCGTCCTTTGCGCAGGTCCTGATAGGGGAGAAAGGACGAGGAGGCGGTGGACGACGAGGAGGATACGAGGCTGACCAGTTTTTTTCTGTCCGCGTCCCTCCTGTCGTCCATCTTCCGCTTTCACCTGCTGTGCTCGAGTTGTGTCGCGGATCTTCCAATACAGCCGCACTGGGCAGGCACCAACATTGCGGGCACCCCTCGGAGGCGCCACCCGCCTCTGCACCCCTCTGTGCACGCTGTGGCGGAAGTGGCGCGTGGAGCGCTTGTATCACCGCCCACCAAGCCACCCCAGCCCAATCGGAAGGCCCAGATTTGCCCTCCATTTCCAGTGTGGGGGGGTCGGGGATCAGTGAAAAGCACATGAAGTCCGTACCCGCCCCAATCCGAAGAGGAGGAGGAGGAGGAGGAGGAGGAGGAGGAGGAGGAGGAGGAGGAGGAGGAGGAGGAGGAGGGTTGGGGTGGTCTGGCAGGCAGTCGCTGCAAGACTCCTCCCGCGGAGACCGTGCGCCCCCCCGCCCCCCGCGCCCCCGCTCTCGTCTCGCAGGTACGACAACGCGAGGGCCAGGTCGGGGCTGCGGATGATGAGCGACGCGGCTCCGCCCGACGCGCCGGCCTCCCTCCTCGCGCGCGGTCGCGCGGAGCTCGAGCAGGTGCTCCTGCAGGAGGAGCAGGAGGGGAGCGAGGGAGCAGGATGGCGATCGGCAGTGGGCTCGACCCAAGCGGCGAATTCCGTTCTCGTTCTGTTCTCGTTTTCTCCTCGTGTTGTCTTCGTTCTGCCTTTGCTGCAAAACGAGATCAAAACGAAATCGGTCCTCGGGTTCGCTTCAACACTTCAACACCGTTTAGGTCGAGCCCTGGCGATCATTAGCGTCTAACCTATCCCAATCCCCACCAGGCCTCGGCATCTCAGCCCCATCACCACACCGCAGCTGGGGACAGGCCCCTCGAGCTTCGAACGGAACAGCTTATACATGGGGGTACCTCGGCCAGTGGGGCCCAGGCCATCCCACCGGGGGCGGGGATCGGTTGACCGATGCTCAGACGCTCAGGAAGGCGGCGAGGACGACCGTGGCGACGGAGGGGTCGACGGACCAGGCCTGCGGCGCGGTCCAGGTGGCGGAGGGGGATGGCCTTCTGAGAAGGCGGGGTGCCTCTCCCAAGGGAGGAGGACTATTTGGACCCGATCGTTGGCGTTGACGAGACCGCCCTGGGCGTTCACTGAGCAGCCCTGCCTTGGTCGATTCCTTTGTTGGCGAAGCAGCTTCGCACGTCGGGGTGACTCTATCCTCGGGTTTTCTGCTCCCTGCCCTCAGAGGGCGGGGGCCTCCTCAGGAGGGCCTGGAGGCTTCGGAGAAGGAAGGCTCCCGCGAAGCCGGGCTGGCTTCCTCAGGAGCCCTTCTGCGCTCCTCGGGAGGCCCCCGGAGAGCTTCCTGCAAGAGGCCGCCCCGCTCGCGCCCCCCTCCTCCCCCGGTGCGCGCCGCCAGTCGGGAGCGCGAGGGGGGGCGGGTGGCCAGGCAGCCTAGCCCGGCAGGCTGGAGCTCGGCGTTTGCGCCGTGCCTCCACTGGCAGGCGTCGGCCCGGCAGCCAGTGCATTCCCCCCGTATAGTGAGGGTATGCGCGATAGGGATGCAAGGGCCTTGGAAGGCCACGTCGACGCTTGTCGAGCGGGGCGCGGCCAACGAGAGTGGCCAAGGATGGGCCGCGGAGGCAAGGATGCAAGGGTACCCTTGGGAAGGTTGCCCATCCTTACTGCGGGTTGACTGTACAGCGTTTGACGGACGGTCTGCGCTGCCGCTTGAGGTGCAGCGCCTGTGGCGCTGGCGGCGCTCACGCAGTGGCAGCACGCGTGGTGAGGCCGGCGTCACACGGGCGACACGCTGGCGGCGGCCCCGTGCGGTGCGGCGCCGAAGCTGGCGAGTGCATGTGCGAAGCAGGTGCCATCTCGCTTCTCGATTCTTACGCTCCACTCCGCCCTCTCCCCAGTCCACAATCTGTGCTGTTGAGCGGGGCCGCCACCGGCAACTGGCTGGACATCGCTGGAAACAAACAGGTGTGGAGCACTTTGGAAACGGGTCCTGAGGGAAGCAGGTCCTGGACCCTTGGTGCCTTCGCCCAGGGCGAGTTTTTCATCCCGAGTCGCTTTCTGACAGCCCCGGGGCCCGTGGAGGTCCCCGAGAGCTCGAGCACGGAGGAAAACCGTGGGACCCGTTTCCCTCAGGCCCCATCGGGATGGCGAAACTGCGGAGCGCTCGGGAAACGACTTCTTCGACCACGGTGCGCTCCCGAAGGGGGCTCCAGCCCGCCCGCGCCGCCCCCGCGGGGCGCGCTGCGGCGGTCGGCTTCGCGCGCCCTGCGCCCCGCGCCGCCTCGCGGAGCTGCAGCTCGGGGCGGAGGCCCGAGGCCCGCGGAGGCGTGCCCGCAGCCCGCTGCGGGCCAGAGGCCCGCGTACCGCGCCTCCTCCCAGACGTCGGATGTCCCAGCTTTACTCCAGCCTGGATCCGCAGGAGAAAGCTCGAGCATCAAGGAAGTACCGAAACCGGAGGGTCTTGACGCGTCGGGCCCCGGGGAGGCGCCGCTTTTACTCCTTCGGCACTTCGACGCCGTTTCGATACTTTTCTGGGCGCCCGAAATTATTTCTGGCATCACAATCGCGGACATGATTTTCTGGCGCTCGACATGATCTGGTCCTTCAGTACGATGGGAGCAGCACAATCCCGGACACCCCGGCCGGTGCTGCTCGAGTGCGGGCGCGGCGCGAGGCTCCCACGCGGCGGCGTCGCGGCGGGGCCGATCTCGCGCACAGTTTTCGCCGCCCACCTGAGACCGCTCCTCCTCCTCCTCCTCCTCCTCCTCCTCCTCCTCCTCTTCCCCCTCCTCCTCCTCCTCCTCCTCCTCCTCCTCCTCCTCCTCCTCCTCCTCCTCCTCCTCCTCCTCCTCCTCCTCCTCCTCTCCCTCCTCCTCCTCCTCCCTCCTCCTCCTCCTCCTCGTCCTCCTCCTCTCCCTTCTCCTCCTCCTCCCTCCTCCTCCTCCTCCTCCCTCCTCCTCCTCCTCCCTCCTCCTCCTCCTCTCCCTCCTCCTCCTCCTCCTCCTCCTCCTCCTCCTCCTCCTCCTCCTCCTCCTGCTTCGCGCGGCCCCAGGAGGATCAGGAGGGGGGAGAAACACAGATACAAATAATTGATCGTCGATTCCCAGGAGGGTATGGAAAGTATGGGAAGTGGAGGAATACGAGCGTCTCGAAATTATGCAAAAATAGAGGGGAATTCTGGGAGCTGTGCCTGTTTATCTGTGTGTCTCTGGGCCCCTTCAGAGGAGCGGTGTGGGGGCGGGGGGGCGAGGAGGGGGGGGCGGGACGAGGCAAGCAGCGGCGGGGGAGGGGCGCAGGGCAGGGAGAAGGGCCCAGACCCCCTCGCGCTGAGAGGAAGGGGTCTGGGGAGGAGGAGGAGGACCCAGACCCCCTCGCGCTGTGCCAGCACCACGGCGGGAGGCTTTTCGCTTCTTTCGGCCTCCGGGGGCCCTCACCGGGCCTCGGGACCGTCAACAAATGCAACTCGGGAGGAAGAACCAGTCCCGGGGAAGCCCACGTGGTGAAAACGTCACGACGTCGGAGCTCTGGGGAGGAGAAGGACCCAGACCCCCTCACGTTGTTAACAAAATCACGGCTGGAGGTCTTTCGCTATTGTCGGCCTCCAGGGCCCCTTACGGGGTTTCGGGACCGTCAGAGAATGGCGCGGAAGGAAGAGCCCGTCCTGGGGAAGGGGCCCAGATTTTCGAAACGCAACGGGCGTTTCTTCGCTAGGTTCGGCCTCTGGGGGCCCTTACGGGGCCTCGGGACCGTCAACAAAAACGACTTGGGAGGAAGAGCCGGTGGGATCCAGACCTCTGGGGTCGGTGTTGTGAAGATCGGCGGCGAGCGAGGGAGGGAAATGAGGAGGAGAAGGCCTTCCCAGAAGGCGGCGGGACTTCTCAGAAGCCCTCGCGCCTCCTGAGCTCCCTCGCTCGCCGCTGAGAAGAGAGCACGACGTCGGGGTTCTTCGGTTAAGTCGGGCGTGTCCCTCTACAGGAGGATTATTCAAACATAGTCCAAACATTGTCCGGGGACTTTTTTTTGTTGTTGTTTGTTTTGTTTGTGTGTTCTTTGTTTTTTGTTTTTTTGTGACTATTTTGGAATCTGCTTTGAATATTTTTACGGTTTCGCCCGAGATCCGCCTGTATCGGGGACATGCCCGACCGAAGTCTTCGGGAAGCGGGGGACGGGAGGCGCCCCGGTGGAGGAGCAGCAGCCGTTCTTCCAGCTGGCGGTGCGGCAGGCGGAGGGCGACTACCAGATCAAGGTGCCCGCGCCCCGCTGGCGCGGGGGCGGTGCCAGGCTCGGCGATCGGCGCGGCGAGCCGGTTTTTCGATTCGGTTCGGGGCGATCCGCTGTCGACCCGAGCCGATCCAGCTCAGGGCGATGATTCCGATCCGTGGGAGGTGCTCAGGTGCAGCGTCCGAGGAGGTGCTCAGGTGCAGGGTCCGATCCGATCCGTGGTCGGGACGGTTCGCTGTCGATTCCGATCCGATCCGATCTCGCGATCCAGGCCAACATCGCCGTCAGCGAGGCCCTGCTCTTCCCCTCGGCGGCGAGCGAGAGGGGAAATGACAAGGAGGAGGCCTTATCAGAAGGTTCGGAAGTCCCCAGGCCTTCTGAGTAGTGTTCTAAGCCTTCCTGGGAGACAGGAAGCCCTCTCAGAAGGCGCGGGGGCTTTGAGAAGAAGTCCCGCCGCCTTCTGAGAAGGCCTTCTCCTTCTCTCTTCCCCCCCTCGCCCGCCGTCGAAACATCGCCGAGAACCAACCTCGCCGTCAGCGTGGCCTTGCTCTCCCCCCTCCTCATGGCGCCAACATCGCAGAGCGGATTTCATTCGGAAAACGACAGGATGGACCCAGAGTGTCCTGTAGAATTTCGTGCCGGATTTCGAGGTAAATTTCGTGGTGTTTTTTTTGGCCAGGAATGAAGACAAAACATCCACGCGGAATTCGCTTCGTTTCTCACTCGCCCCTTCGAGGTTTTGCATCGACGGAAATCCACGCAAAAGTCCGCTGCAGCACGTCTGCAAGGTCGGTGCAGCGACCCCCTCCTCCCCGAGTCGCGGTCGTCGTTGTCGTGTCGTCTGTCGTTCTCGCCGCCGCCGTGCGTCTTCGTTGTTGTCGCCGTCGGTGGCCGCCCTCGGGTTGCCTGTCTGGACCTCGTGCGTCTGCGTGGGCCCGCGCCGGGTCGACCGAGCATCCAGTCCCTTCCCGAGGCTTAAGTCGGGCGTGTCCGTGTACAGGAGGAATTTTCAAAAATAGTAAACATAATCGTCTGGGGACAACGTTATTACAATTTTTGACCATGCTGGGGTATTTTGTCGATTTTTTCGCCCAAAATCCGCCTGTAGGGGGACATGCCCGACCTAACCCCAGACCCCCTCGAGTCATGACAAAATCACGACGGGAGGCTTGTCGCGATTTTCGGCCTCCGGGGGCCGTTGCGGGGCCGCGGGGCCGTCCACAAAGACGACTCCGTAGGAGGGAAAACCGGTCCAGGGGAACGGGTCGAGACCTCTCTGAGGGTCACGCCACGAACAGGTCAGGACGTCGGGGGCTTGGGTCCTCCTGCCCTCTGGTCTTGGCTTCCGCTGTGGTTTTCGCTCGTGCTTGCAACGTGGGAGTGGTGACGACGGCTGCGCATCGCCATGCCTCCTCCCTGGCTTCTTCCGTGAGCTGGCGACCCACGTGGGCCCCCCTCGCCGCCGTGGAGCTGCTCTGCATCGTCGTGCCGCCGCGCACGGTGCACTCGAGAGGGAGAGGGCGTCGGGGCAGCAGAAGAAATCCAGAGGGGGGGGGGGAAGGAGGCGAGGCCCGAAAGCGCTGCTTCGAAAGGCCCAGCGCTGCTTCAGGAGGCGGCTTCGGGGAGGGGCGAAGTGCCATGCAGGCAAACACGCGCGAGTCTAGAGCAAAGCGCCACTCCACTGTGTTCCCCATATCTGCCCCTTCCTGTGCCCCGTGCCCGTCCTTCCCGTCCGACCCGGGCTCCACGTGCACTCCCACGTCCCTCGCCTCCATCCCCATCCCCGCCCCACTCTCTAGAATGAAGAACAAAAACACCACAGTCACAAACTTTTGGCGCTCCGCGCGGATTTCTTGGATCCGCGCTGGACCCCCCTCCCTGGCGCGCGGAGCGCGCCAGGGGCGGCGCCGGAGGCGCCGCCAGGGGTCCCCACAGCGCGGACCCAAGAAGTCCGCGCGGAGCGCCCCAAAAGTCTATCTTATGGCGTTTGCTCTTCTTCGACCCTCCCTCGAAGGTGGCATCGGCGCTCCCTTTCGGCACGGACGGCATCCCGCGCTCCCCTTCGGCACCCGCGCTCCCTTTTTCGAAGATGGCATCCGCGCTCCCACATGGCAATGGGAGCGCGGATGGCATCCGCGCTCCAAGGGGGGGCCCCCGCGCGGACCCAAGAAATTCGCGCGGAGCGCCCCAAAAGTCTATACTCTTATGGCGCTTTCTCTTCTTCGACCCTCCCCCATGGGGAGGGTCGAAGAGGACATCCGCGAGAATCTCCTTGTGCGACTTCTTTCAGGCGCCAGGGGCATCCTCCTCCTCGTCGTCGTCGTCCTCCTCCTCCCTCCTCCTCCCCATCCCCATCCCTCTGCTCCCCATCCCCATCCCTCTTCTCCTCCTCCTCCTCCTCCTCCTCCTGCTCCTCCCCGTCCTCCTCCTCCTCGTCCTCCTCCTCCTCCTCCTCCTCGAGTTCCTCCTATCACCACTTAAGCCATTCGCCGCCGGCGGAGGCTCCTCGCCCGCGTGCCGCACTTGTTGCGGGCGGGCTGGGCTCAAGTCGGGCGTGTCCCTCCACAGGAGGAATGTTCAAAGACAGTCCCAAGAAGTCTGGGGACGATTTTTGGATTATTTTTTGAGCTATTTTTGAACATGCTCCGACTATTTCTAATTTTTCGCCCAAAATCTGCTTGTAGGGGAACATGCCCGACCTAAGGCTGGGCCAGTTCGGCGGCGCGTCGGGCGGGCGGGCCCTCGCGGTCCGGTGTTGCTAGAAGTGCCCCTGGCCCAAGGTGCCCCCAGAATTCTCGGGGTGGCCCAGACGGCCTCCAGAGCACCCCTCACGGGGCCCAGAGGGCCCCCTCTTGGGCCACTGAATTAATTTCGAGGAAGGAACATTCTAGACGCTTCGGGTCATCCTGGCGCCACCTCACGCACTGGTTCGTGGTGACCCGCGCCATTTTGGCTGCGTCGCGGCTCCGCTGCTTCCCGCACTCGTGCGTTCTGCTGCGTCGGGACCTCTCGGCCACGGCCACCCTGGGAGTTGCAGCCTGCCAACGCTTTCGCCTCCTGGCGTTCATTCTTGGACTGACGGTCCTTCGGGCCACCCTGGTACTCTCGCTCACGCAGACGTCCGGGGCTTCGCCTTTGCAATTCTTAATTCCACCTCGACCGGCGGTCCTGTGGCTGCGGCCACCCTGGTGCTCACGCAGTTCTCCGGGGTCTGGGCCCATGCATTAATTCCTCGGCTTCCGACCCGGGTCGTCGTTTGTCCCGACCTCCTGGTGCCTCGACGCCTTGCAGACTTGCACGCTGGCAATTCGAGTCAGTCTCAGTCGCCCTTGCCACCCGCCGTTCCGCCGCTGGGTTGCCGCGTGAGGTCTCGGCTAGCTGTGTTAGACGTGACCTGCCCCCGCCGCCTTCGCTTAATTCGTCGCTGCGTAGCTCGCTTTGACCTGACTCGCATCATGCGCGCTCGCCCGCGGCCGCTGACTAAAAAGTAACCCAGCCCATACCCGCACATTTGCAGCTCCTGGCAGCCCCAGCCGCTTGCAGTCCCCACCCTCGGCGCTGTTTCCCAGCGTCGGCGGTTGCAGCTCAGCCCGGGCGCAGCTGCTTCCCCCGGCGGTCGGTTCTGCTTGGCCCCGCGCGCGTGCCTCGGTCCACCATAGTATGGATGTCTTTGCGCGTGTAGGGATGGGGGAGGGTTGGGTGGGGAGCGTTGATGAAGAGCTTGTAGGCGTCAGGCGAGCTGCGGGCCCGCTCCGACCATGTCGTCGAGCGTCATGGCAGCGGCTGCCTCGTCTGGGTCGGCATACCCGTGCACCTTGGAGAGGTTGTGCTTCAGCTGCTGAGCCCAGCCGTAGTTGAGCACCCAACCTGCGCTGAGTCAAGCTCGCAACTGCCGCGGAGCGTGCTGCAATACACGTGGCAGGAGTCGTAGCCTGGCCAGTCGTAGCGCGTCGCAGTCCTGGAGTTGCTTCGCCTTTTGGACCACCATTAGGTTAGTGATGTGGCCGCTTGCCCGCGCACGCCATGATTTCCGCAATGCCTCCGCTTGTGCTTGACCGCCAAGGCGCGCCAGGAATGGACTTCCCGAGCCAGTGGTAACGACCAAGCCAAATCCATATTAACCCTCTTGGCGATTTCGGCACCGATGGATACGTCGTCGGATATCACGGTGCCGAGCATGCGCTGGGCCCGTACCACCTTGATTGGCTCCCCCATGTCGTCCACCTTGATGGCGGCGTCACCCTTGGAGTAAAACTCTTGCTTGTAGCGCAAGTGGCCTCGTCTTCTTCCTCTTCCTCCTCCTCCTCCTCCTCCTCCTCCTCCTCCTCCTCCTCCTCCTCCTCCTCCCTCTCCTCCTCCTTATCCTCCTCCTCCTCCTTCTCCTTCTCCTTCTCCTTCTCCTTTTCCTTCTCCGTCTCCCTTCTCCCTTCTCCCTGGCCCCCTTGCTCGCTATGCAGGCTCAGCATCCCCTGTTCTTCTACTGGACGGAGGACGCCTCGGAGCTGATGATGGCCTCCGAGAGGGAGGCCCTTTCCGTCGCTACCCGCCCCTGCCAGCGACCAGAGCCACCTGCATGCCAGAGGCAGGAGTAGGAGTGGGAGAAGGAGGAGAAAAGGGAGCTGGAGCGGGGAGGAGGAGGCGGTGTAGGATGTTGATTATGCAGGAGGAGGGGAGCAGCGGATGAGGATGATGATAGTTAATACCTCATTGACCCCTCTTCGGGCGATAAGTATTGGTTGTTGTACGTTTTTTTGGGGCGGAGTGCGTGCGGGGTGGGGGGGCGGGGTCTGACGTCATTTTTTAATTGCTTTAGACGAAAAGTCCATGATGAAACATCACGATGGATCTGCATCTACCTATCGATCGATCTGTCTACCTGCCCATTTTGCGAGACGGCCGGTGCCGCCGACCTTGGGGACGACGACGAAGACGACGACGACGAAAGCGAGGGCGATGACGACGACGATGCTGACGCTCTGGAACCGAAAGCTTCTCCCAGGGAAAGGTGCTCCCCCCCTGGTGGGGGGGTCACAACCCTCGGGCCCACCCTCCCCCCCCCCACCCCACCCCTCCCTGAGATCCCCTCTTCCCCCCCTTCCCCCCCCACCGTCTTCCCGGACACCCCGCCTACCTCGGGATCATCCCACCCCCTCCGCCCCCGGCGGGGGAGGAATCAAAAGGAAGGGGCTTCCCGTCGAATCGATTGCGACGTTGCTCGATTTCCCTCTGGCTGGGCAGCTTGGGGAGGGGCCCAGGGAAAGGGGGCGACGACGACGACGATGACGACGACGACGACGACGAGTCAAACGGAAAAGCCCCTCGCATGCCGACAAGGTCGGCGGATGTCAATCTGTCTTACTTTCTATATGCCATTCTATCTATCTATCTATCTATCTATCTATCTATCTATCAATCAATCTATCTATCATCCACCTGTCGGTCCCCATATCTATGGGTCTCGCTATCGATCTATCGATACCACCATGAGTCCGTCTGTTGATATCGTTTTAACCAATCGGGACAGCCGTTGGGACAACCATCGGGAAAACCATCAGGACAGCCATTGGTTTGGGCCCCGCCAGGCGCATTTGTGCCCCGCGGGGCGCATTTTGTTTTTTGCCCGTTGGCCGCATTTTTTGGCACGATGGCCTCGCAGAGCGCATCTGTTGTATTAAGTCGTCGCAAGACCATCGGGACAACCATCGGGACAGCCATCGGGACAGCCATTGAGACATTGACCGGGACCACCATCGGGACCGCCATCGGGACAACCCGCACACTCAGGCCAGCCCGGGCGAATCATTTTGGCATGAGTTGGCTTCTGCTCGAGCAGGAGTTCGCGAGGCCGTGCAGCTCGTCGCAGGCGACAGCGACCTCCGCGAGGCCGTGCAGAGATCGTCGCGGGCGGCGGCCTCCCTGACGCGGCACGGGAGCTGTGCTCGCTCGGCGTGTGCACAGGTGGCCTTGGCATGCGGGCCGCCTCGCAGGTGTCCCTTGCCGCCTTCGTTTGGGGAACGATCAGTGACATACGCATGAGAACTCGGAGGTCCGCGCGGATTTCTCAGATCGGCGCTCGACCCCCCTCCCTGGCGCGCGGAGCGCGCCAGGGGTGGCGCCGGAGGCGCCGCCAGGGGGCCCTAGCGCCGATCCGAGAAATCCGCGGACCTCCGATCGTTGGTTGCTCCATTCGCAGCCAGCCGCGTGTGCTCGAGGCCTCGCACGCGGGAGATCGTTGCGCACCTTGGAGAAGGGGTCTGGGCGAGGCGGGGTCCATCAGGGCCGAGGACGCCAGGCGCACGTACGATGCCGCGGCCCGCTTGGTCTTCAGCCCACCGCCCCCCCAGTCGGTGCTTTCATCATGGCTGCGCTCTTGGAGGCCGCCGTGGAGGCCGAGGGGCGCTGAGCTTTTCTCTTCGACCAGCACGCGGAGGCGCCCGGTGCCGCGCCCCGGGGGCGCCGTGGCCGCCCTTGGTCTGAAAGATACGCAGGAGTAAGCTTGAACAGTAGCAGTCTCCTGCCCGTCTGCCCTGTCCGTTCCACCGCCACCTTCGGCTCAAGGCGAGGGAGGGCGGGACTCTTTCTGACAGAGCCTGGCTGTGCCAGGCAGACCGCGCACACGACAGCGCGGCCGTTCATATCGTGGACAAAAGGTGTTCACTGACAATTATCACGATAATTGACATCTACACACACTTTCTCTTGCTCTTCCTCATCGTCACCAGCGTGAGCGATCTTGAGGACGAGCTCTAGTAATCAGATTGGTAGCGGAGCCTGTGGTCTCCGATAACCACGGGCTCCCACCGGTCTCGGCCTGAATGGCGACTTCAGCCGCCAGCGGGCTACCTACGACGCGCGTCGACGTCCCCTCATGGAACGGCGAGGCAGACAAGTTGACGAGCTACAAGTTTGAGGTCTCCATGTTCACCAAGAGCATCAAGACTGCGGAGCGCTACGTGTGCGGCCCGCAGCTGGTGCGCGCCCTCGGGGCGCGAGTCCGGACTGGAGAGCTGCCCGGACATCGACACGGTCGACGAGATCGACAAGGATGGAGTTTTGATTGGTTGGAACAAAGTGTTTCAGTACGTATTGGAGAAGCTGGACTTCACCAGCCTGAATGATACGGGCCTCCTCGCGGAGGAGTTCTTCCTGAAGGTCAGCCGGAACTCGGGCGAGACCTTCCAGGACTGGGCCGCCAGATTCGAGAAGAAGGAGCGGGAGCTGTTGGTGCAGCTCCAAGTCATTGATTCCAGCGTGACGGAAGTGATTGCGAAGCCTCTTCGGACATGGTGGTTCCTTCGGAAGTCCAAGCTATCCCCTGTTCAACGTGGAGAGATCACCGCCACTGCAGGTGGCGACCTCAACTTTGGCAAGACATACAAGGCCTTGCTCACGCGCTTCCCGGCGGAGGCGCTGGCGGAGCTCGACGGCAAGCAGCACCGTAAGGCCTTCTATGAGGACACGCCCGTCGACGACGTTGAGGACGAGACTGGTGGGGAAGATATTGATTTCACAGAGGTTGTCGAGCAGCTGATCACCCTCGCTGAAGAAGATGAAGATGAGGAGCCAGCTGGCGACAACCCAGCGGACAACGAGGTGTTCGCAGAGTTCAAGCAGGTGGGCAGGAGCTTCAAGGACGCTCGCGACCTGATCCGACGCCTTCGAGTGTCCCGCGACTACTACCCGGTCGTGTCGCTCAAGGACCCCGATCGCGTGCCCCCGCCTCCGAACCCGGGACGAGGCTTCCAGCGTGGCCGTGGCAAGAACGGTCGAGGCCGCGCTCGCTTCGACACGGGCAAGGGACGTGACATGTCCAAGATGAAGTGCATCGCGTGCGGCGAATATGGTCATCGAGCGGCGGACTGCAACGAGAGGTTCAAGAAAGATAATACGAGAGATGGAGCTCGTGGGACTACTCACAACGGCTTCGTCCTGTCCGCCCTCGACGAGTACCTCTACCTCCTGGAGCGCGACGGCATCTGGGCGATCCTCGACATCGGGGCCACGAAGAGCCTCGGCGGCCTCGAGAGCGTCGAGAACCTCATGTACGAGATGCTGGACCAGCACGGCCAGGAGTTCGAGACGACACATGACGAGTGCTCATTCACCTTCGGCGACGGCCTCCAGAAGAGCTCGATGGGCACGGTGAAGGGGAACGTGTTCCTCGGCGGCGACCTGACCGAGGTCAAGCTGTCGGTGATGCCGAACCGCGTGCCGATCCTCCTGGGCATGGACATTCTGACTGACTCGCTGAAGGTTGTGGTCGACTGCGGCCGGAACTGGATCGGCCTTCCGACCATGGGCAACAAGGTGTTCTTCTGCGAGCGCCTCTCGAGCAACCATCTGGCCGACAACCTGACGACGCCGCAGTGGTGGAAGGAGGTGCCGCTTTCCTTGCCGAGTGCCGGGTGCCTGACGTCCCAAGCGACGGCGCCTGATGTTCTGGTCGAGGAGCTGCCCGACGAGGCCGCTCCGTGCAGCTGCTGCCCTGCGGCGCGCTAGGGACAGCGCCCCCTGATGATGGCAGCAGAAGAGAAGTTATCTCGATTGTCAACTTCATCATCGGGGGGGCCACGCCGACTCGGTCACCGCGAGTTCGAAACGCCTACCAGAGCGACGGAAACCTCGGCGGCGCGGACACCTACCAGAGCGACGGAAACTGCGACACGGAGCGGATCGGCTCGAGCGACGGAAACCTCGATTTCGTTCGGACGGACGGTCATGTCATCCGACCGGCTCTCTTCATCATCACCGTCGATCGGGACATCATCACAGTCAAGAGGGCCGTTAGCAAGCAAGCCTCAGGATCGAAATATGGAAAAGCAAAGCGATGAGCCAGCACAATACCATCGGTGTTCATCATCATGCTGTTCGCAGCCACCTTCGGCTCAGTTCATCAACTCGGCAATAGCCTCAACCATCAGTCTTTCACGACCTCCATATTCTTCCCAGGCCGCCACTGGCCGCTTGGATGACATGCAGCGACGGTTCTTTGGCTGGGCAATCCTCGGAGCAACAGCCGCCACCTGTGCCTGCGGCCCGCCCCGAGTGGAGCCGCCCTCGCACGAGGGGATCGGCAACTTCGGCTCCAGCGACCCCGGCGCCAGCATCAGCAGCAACACCAGCTATTCCGGCGCTACCAGCGAAGTGGTACAACCCAGCGGGGAAGCGCGGCTGCTGCGGAGCTCTGGGGAAGACCAAACGCGGGTGCAGCTGCTTCGGGGGCAAGAGCCACCAGTGCCTCAAGACCCCGCAGCAGGGGGCACCCGGGACACCAGCAGCGGCATCAGCAGCGGCAGCCAGCAGCGCCCCATCGAGTCCAGCGGGGGCTCAGCCAGTGACGAGACCTCCGAAGTCCGCGTGCACCTGCTGCGGGACCCTCGGGAAGACGATTCGGGGGTGCAGCTGCCGCGGAGGCAAGAGCCACACGTCTACGAAGGCGACGGAGGTGACCATCCGGGAGCAGGCAGTGGCTCTACGCTGGCGGCGCCTGTCCAACAAGCTGAACTCCCCGGAGGTGCAGGGGGGCTGGAAGTTCACTCCGGAGATGCTCGACGACTCGGAACTGCCGGAGATGGACTCGAAGAGGAAACGCTGAAGCATCTCGACGACCAGGATCTCAAGATGTTCTACGAGAGCCACGACAAGGTCCTGGACGAGATCTACCAGACCATCGCCGAGGACCTGACGGAGCTCGGCAGGCCCTACCGCATCGACCTGATGGAGGTGTGCTGTCCGGAGGACTCGAGCCTCAGCAAGGCCGTGCAGGACCAGGGAGGCAAAGTGTTCAGGTGCGGCCTCTTCAATGGGATCGACATGGGAACGGCAACCGGGCTTCGACGCGCGCTTCACCTTCTCCGACGACTCCGACCGCGCCGCTTGGTTCTCAGCCCGCCATGTACAGCAGACTGCCCGATCCAGAATCTCAACCAGAAGACAGCTCAGCAGAAGGCCACGTATCTGGCGAAGGTGCGCAAGGCCCGACGGATCCAGCGGAACTGCAAGAGCCTCTGGGAAGACTCGAAGAAGATTCACGACTGCCACACCGAGCTCGAACAGCCAGCTGCCAGCCGAAGCTGGACCAGGTCGCCCTCGATCAAGGCGATGCGCGACCAGATGCACGAGACGATCATCCATGGCTGTGCGTATGGACTTCGCGAAGCTCGTTCCGGCCTGCTGATGAGGAAGGCATGGCGCATATGCTCGACAGACCCGGAGTTCGGCGCTAAGCTCGGCAGGACGTGCTCCAACCGCCCTGGCAGGGGCGACAACCACACACACCGCCCCATCGAGGACGGACAGGTGGTGGCCCAGACGGCCTTTTACCCACCAGCACTGTGTAAGGCCTGGGCAAAGCATATCCTGAAGACGAACACCAGCGCGAGGTACGGCAAGGAGATCTTCACCAGCTTGGAACAGATCCCAGAGGACGCTGAAGAGGAGATGGAGGAGGCCCTCGACGAGGACCTCTTGCAGGATAACCCCGAGGCCATGGACGACGAGTCGGTCATGAAGGGCCTGGGCATCTCCGAGACACCGACCAAGAAGGAGGAGCTGGAGATAGAGCAACGGCTGACGCGGCTCCACCGCAACCTCGGCCACCCGAGCAACAAGACGCTGTACAAGATCCTCAAGGCATCGGGAGCACCTCTCCAGGTCCTACGAGCAGCTCTTCGCCTCCAGTGTCATGCATGCCATGCGGGGCAACTACCAAAAGCCGTCAGGGTCGCCTCGGGCATCGAGTTGCCAGGCGTCCTAGAGGTGCTGGCCTCCGACGGGCTCGAGTGGCTCTCGCCGAAGCAGGGCTCCTTCCTGATGACGTTGAACCTCGACGAGGGATCCGGGCTCACCAGTGTCACCTATCATGGACAGAAGGGAGAGCGCAATGGCAACAGATCGACTCAGGAGGTGATTTCAACATGGAATGACTGGTGCGGACATTACCGCCGCCCCAGCCTTCTCCGTCTGGACCCCGAAGGTTGTCATCGTTCACAAGCAGTGGCCAGGTGGTGTTCGGACCGCGGCATCGAGCTGTGGATTGCCCCGGGCGGGGCCCACTGGCTGATGGGCAAGGTCGAGGGGCGCATCCAGCTTTTCAAGCGACTGATGACGAAGCTGGCAACGCTGGACCCCGACTGCCCGGTCGAGGAGTTGGTGTCCTGGGCCGTGAGCGCGATCAACAGCATGGACAAGGTCGGCAACCACTCCCCGTTCGAGCACGTGATGGGCGTCTCTGGGATGCCGGCCTCGAGCAACCCGTTCGCCATCATTGACGGGGACACCGGGCAGACTCAGGAGCAGAGGCGCCTCCTCGCGCGCAAAAGCTTCCTGGAAGTAGAGTATGCTGAGCGTCGTCGACACGCCGAACAGGCCCGCAACCGGGTCTATCAGACCTGGAATCCGGGGGACCTCGTCTACTTCTGGCGCAAAGGGAAAGGCCTTGACCCTCGCCCTGGGAAGAAGGGCGGATGGTACGGCCCTGCTCGTGTCCTTGCTCAGGAAAAACGACACGTGGACGGGCGCGCCCGTCCTGCCTCGGTCATCTGGATCTCCCACGGGAGCGTGCTCATCAGGTGCGCCCCGGAGCAGCTGCGCGTCGCCTCGGAGGCAGAGAAGATGATCGTCGAATTTGCAGCGGCAGAGCAACCTTGGCAAGACCATGACGGAGATCTTGGAGACAGCCAAGGGCGGTACCTATGAAGACCTTCTCGGACAAAATCCCCCAGACCTCCGAGAATGCGAGCCTCCGCCGCAGCCGACGATGGCGATCCCCGCGACCGAGGGCCAGACTCTCGAGAACAACAGCGAGGCGGGACTCCCCTCAGGCGCCGACAACGACACACCCGGCGCTCCTGATTCCTCCAGGCCACCAACACCAAGCTCAGCGACGCAACCTGAAGTGGAACCGAGTGAACCAGATGTCCGCCGGTCCCGGTCACCACCGGCTCGTGCAGCTGACCGGTCAGCAGCCCCATCACGAACGCCAGGGAAAGCATCTACCTCAGCGGCAGTCAGGACGGAGTCTCGAACAGCATCGCGTCCGCCTCCCGCGACCTCGACCTCATCGGCGGCCGGTGCCGCATCCCGAGGCGAGTCGAGACCTCGATGGCGCATGACACACCGCGGACCAGAGCTCGATCTGCACGCACCGCCGGAGAAGCGACAGAAAGGCGCAGACGAGGAGATGGCCGACGCGCTGTTCGACAGCAACCACCTGGTCGACCTCTTCAAGGACAAGCTGGACATCACCCTCGGCATCGACGAACAGCAGACCGTCTACTTCGAGTACTTGCAGGACGAGAATACCACTCCAGACGGACGCCGAGGTTTGATGAGCCACATCCTGGACAGCTTCGTCGTCAACCAGCGCCGGAAGGACAAGGTGGAGCTGACCTGGTCCAAGATGAACGCCACCGAGCGTGAGGAGTTCGAGGTAGCCATCGCCAAGGAGACGAACAACTGGGTCCAGCATCAGGGACTTCGCGCTGTCCCGATATCTCGGGTCAAGGACGCGGCGGACGTCATCCGGGCAAGGTGGCTCTTCACCCGCAAGTCCGATGGGAAGGCGAAGGCCCGGCTCGTCCTCCTCGGCTACCAGACGAAGGACCTAGGACAGGAGCCGACAGCCAGCCCCACCGCGTCTCGGCGCGCCCGTCACGTGATGCTAACAGTGGCCGCCGCGAACCGCTGGAAGCTCATCAAGGGCGACGTCACCTCCGCCTTTCTGCAGGCCCACGACCTCGACAAGGACCTCTTCATCGAGCCAGACGCCGTCCTCAGAAAGGCCTTCCACGTGCAGGAAGGGGAAATCCTCCAGGTCGTGAAACCTGGATATGGGATCGGCGAGGCGCCCCGGCACTGGTGGGAGACGGTCAAGCACGACTTTGCGAAACTTCGACTCCAAGCCTGCGAGTTGGAGCCCTGCCTCTGGAAAGCACGATGTTCCAGGACGGGTATGCTCATCGGTATGATCATGGCCCACGTCGACGACTTCATCATGGCAGGAGATACCTCCCACCCTGAGTGGCAGGACATGGTCAAGCAGATCCGAGGGCTCTACAAGTGGGGCACCTGGGAGGACATGAATGACGGGCTCACCTCTCTCGAACAGTGCGGCGTCACCATCGAGGAGAGCGAGCAGGGCTTCTTCCTCCACCAGAAGTCGTACATCGACAAGATCAAGGAGGTCAAGGCGGCCAGCGGCAGTAAGCATCGGACCACCGACAGCCTCAAGGACTCTGACAAGACGGTGCTCAGGGCGTTCTGCGGCGAGATCTACTGGCTTGGCGTGAATACCATGCCATTTCTCTTATCGTGGGTAGCCGACCTCCAGATGAAGATACCAGCAGGTACTCACAACCTCTTCACGGCCGCTAACAACATCGTCAAGCTCGTCAAGCAGAGCCGCCACATGGGGATCAGGATCTACCGGCACGCCCTGGACGACCTCGCCATCTTCACCTGGTGCGACGCAGCCTGGGCCAGCCGCCCGGATGGACACTCCCAGGGTGGTCATATCACCGCTATCTCCTCCAAGGCGGCCATGGACGGGAAGCTCTCCGAGTTCACGGTCCTCGACTGGGGCTCCAAGAAGCTGCGCCGCGTGGCTCGGTCAAGCCTGGCGGCGGAGGTGCAGGAAGCCGGCGACGCCGAAGGCGAACAGAGCATGGTGCGACTGGTACTTGCCGAACTTCTACACAATATGTCTCCACTGCAAGATACCGCAGCAGCACTACGACGA